TGTAGTTATTGCCTGAGAGGGGCGTTTGCATGTAATGGCCAATGTTTTGAAAAGAAAGCCACTGCAATTCTATTTTGTGAGGATCCATCTTGTCACTCTGTCTTAGGTGTGTTGTGCACATGCTTGAAGTCTCCTTGGATGATTTGGTTGCTTCTCTGCCCACTTTAAGGAGAGCTTAGACAGGAGCTGATTGCTTCAGGAGATGAGAACTCAGTTTAGCTTATTCTGTTATGAGAACAGGCAGGTCTAGGGAACCTTTGCTTTTACTTAAGAGGAAAGTGTGTAGCATTCACTAGAGTTTAGTTGACACCTGAGCAAGGCTTTTCTGGATCAGAACTTTAAGATTTTAAGTATGTACCAATTCTTCTCTGTGGTATTTTGGTCTCCTGCTTTGTACATGCACATATTGCAGCTTCCCTTACATTCTTGTGGAGAAGTGGAAGACTATACGCAGAGCTTCATTGCACACCCATTTATTAAAATCAAGAGTTGACTTTTAGTACCCTTTTGATATGTACAGTAAAAATCCAACTGTACACTTTTAGTGTTGCTAAACTGGATTAACTTTCTGGCTCATTCATCATTAGTGATATTTGTACCTGCAATCTGATGGTGTAAACTTTTCATTGATAAATTTTTAGTGTGACAGAATTGGTAGAGTCCAGATCTAAGCCAAATACATGCCAGGTGATTGATAAACCTTGTATCACTTGTAATTTTAGCAAACCTGGAAGGTATCAAGAAACAGTTCAATGCTCATTACATAACATTTTTACAGAATCAATGTACAGCAAAGAAATGCACTTAAAGATCAAGAATGCTGCGACTTCAGCAAAAGAATAAATTATGTTTTGGCTTGAAGAATTACAGTCTTTACTGGGCACAGTTTTTCTCTTAGAAGCAATTAGGGCTAGTCATTGGTATTTTCTTTAGTACTAAGCACTGCTTTCTCTGAAATTTTACCTAATGCAAGGTGTTAGATCTTTTTGTGCCTTGGTTTTAAGCAACAGATGTTAAGTCAGGGTAATTTTGTGTGTATGATTGATTGATTGTTTTTTAAACATTGTTAGGGTGGAGAACATTGTTACTACCATGGAAATATCAGAGGTATCAAGGATTCCAAGGTCGCACTTTCAACTTGTAATGGTCTTCAGTAAGTGCACATTCTCATTTTTTCGAAGAAGGCTATTAACTAATTGTTACTCTTGAATATTATCTCTTAATATGTGAGGGACTGATATTCTCAAGTCCCAAAGAATTTTGATGTTTTGACATGCCAGTACCAGCTATGCCAGACTGTGAGCATTTTTTTGTTGTTTCATTGGGATCAAAGTCTTTTGTTGCTGTCTCATGAAACCTTTGAATATGGTAAGTGCAAATGAATATTTCACCAGATGACTTATTATGGTAAAGGACAAACAAGAATTGTACTTTTAGCAGTTTGGACTGTCAGTAGTAATGTATGATTCTGTCACCCAATAGAAAAATTGATCTTTTTGTTAGATTGTACAAGGAAAAAGTGCAAGAAATTAGTCCTTACTAGGATTAGTTATTGTTAAGAGCAACTCAGCTGATGATTATGTTCTGCATGCTGATGTGTGTCTTAGGACTTTCTCTTTCCAAGGTCATATCTTTACTCTTTTTGGTGCTTTATCATTACATTGCTATTACATTCAGTATTCACTAAAATGCATCTTATCTCTTAAAAAAAATTACTGGCTTTAGCAATATAATGTCCATATAATTAACATATATGGAATTTATTTTAATATTGATCACTTTTTCAGCCCTAAGTTTGGTTTTGTCCTGTCAAAAATCATATCCTGGAGTCAAATTAATTACCAGGTAATACTAAAAATCACTTATTTTTCTCCATGTTCTAGTGGCATGTTTGAAGATAATACTTATTTATACTTGATAGAACCGATGGATCTGACCCACAGTACAGTAAGTTTATTTTTATCTGATTTATTTGGTTTGGGAGAGTGCTCAAGGAATAGCAAATACAAGTATTGGAATAAATTAATAAATTACCTCTCATGCATTCATATGAAAAACAAAAGTGTTTTAAAACACTTGATTGGAATTTATTTAAGGCGAGAAATGTGGAAGTATGAATTGCCTGAGATTTTTCTTTGCTTTTCTTTAATCTTTCTTTTCCTGGTTATTTTTGACCATTTAGGTGTTGGAAGTAGACTAATAAGGCTGTTTCCATAGCAAATGGTTATGGACTGTCAAAAAGTGTGTATCAATTTGCTCCAGTACTTGAACTAAAGAATTTATAAATTCGTAGAAGGGATCTGTGGAAGTCATTTATTCATCCCTCTCTAAATAATTGTATCAGATTGCTCTTTGACCTACCATGTTTCCATGAAGAGCTTAATGAAGTAGATAATTATATCTGGTTATCTTACACTTTATATGTGTTAAGTCAGTGGTCACTGTAGAGCTTAAATGATTCTGATCCAGAATAGTCAAATATGTGACTATGCTGGATCAGCATTTAGGACTCCATTTACGCAAATGTCTTACTGTAATTATTTTTGTACTTCGTGTTAAGTGTATTGTATTACAGCTGTTCCTAAAACTTTAGCTGTAAATAGGACTGACTCAATTTCATAGAAAGTAGTAAAACCAGTTAGATTTATACCTCTTGAATGGTTCAAAGATTTGAATCATTTTCAGTGAAATTACTCTGTAACATTGAGACAAGGAATTATTAAGGTTTGTATCCTACTTGATCTGTGGTATATATTGCAGATGCTGCATCACAGCTCTCAAGCTTGTCTCACTCTAGTACTTGACAGTATATGACAGTGTAATGCTGCAGAACTGATATGTTTTATTGACCTTAAAGCTGAACTTACAGTCCAAAGAAAGATCTGCAAAATCTTTGACTCCTGTTACTTTCAAAGAAACTGGATCAACATTCAGAGGAATCAGTATCATTTGGATGGTCAATTATTGGGCTGTAAATGAAACTGTAGAGACATAGTAAAATGCTACATCCAAAAAGATTTCTCAGTCTCCTCAGGAACAATATTACATGCCATGCCTCAAGCTATATAATGCGTTTTGATGTCGCACATATTCGTAAAGGTTGTAAGGCTGAAAACCAACAGCACAGGTACAGTAAATTCATAGAGATTATATTTATACAATGGTATCCATATAGTTAGGCAGAGGAGAATTTTACTAAACTGTTTTCTTGCTTGGGTGGACAAAAGAAACCAGGATCTCTGTCTCTCAGTGTGATATTTCAGTAGAACTTGGAAGTAGAGCAAAAGTTCTAGTTGTAAAAGTACGATACCATCTGCTAACACTGTTGAGGATTCAAGTGGAATTCTAAATTACAAGAAGACAGATAAGATGAATATTTTTCTCAAAACTACTGAAGATCAAAATAATACAGCTATAGAGAGCTTTCAGAGGCTCATTTTTTGATTGTGCTATATGAGATAAATATCTTGGACACAGCCTTCAGCATGTAGTTTGTTTGGCTTGGTTAATCTTAACTATAGTAGATGTTATATAAAACTTTTTTCTCCACCCCCGCTTCCCTCAAAAAAACCCCAGCAAAAATACACAGTGTTTTCCTTCATTGTATTGCGTATTTCTTATGGAAGTTACAGAACAGTAGCATCCTACCCTTTGAAAAGATTTACTTGTTTTGACAGGCGCTGCAGAGGGGGTGTTACGGAAGAAAAGATAGTTGTCCCCTAGAGCAGATACCAAAATGTGATAATTCGGGGCGTGTTAGGCCTCTAAAGAAAATATGCATTAAAAGTCTTCTCCTTTTTACGTGTTGAATACACCAATAAAACAGGGTGAAATAATCTCAAAGATAGCATATTGATTAGTTTCTTGCATTTTGCTACAATTAGAAAGATAAATTTTTGTGATAAATAGTAGTAGTTGCTTTTAGTCTGTGGGAGGAAGATTTCAACTAGATATATAATCTCTAATTTGATTTATTGGAATAAATAATCTGTGTTCTCTAAGGCATTTAAAGGACTTTTTTCAAGTAACCTCAGATATCTGTGATATTTCGATTTTGTAGGCTGGTAAATGTGCTGAACAGTGAGGCTCCATTATTTGCTCAGGATTGCAAATAGATTGCTTCAAATTAGTACCACGCTGGATTAATTGGTACTATGGTTCCTTGCATTTTGTGGAAAAATGATTAAAATGAAAAATATTGAAAGAAGTTCCTCACTTTTCACTTGACATTATTAATTAGAAGAAAATGTCTCATTTTTCTTATCAGGAAAGTAAAAGCAGGCCACATATCATCCAAAGAACTTATGGAACACAAGCCTCCAAGCAGTTGCAAGACTTTGGTATGTTTTTGCTTATGTTATGAGATTTTCAATATTGGAGATAATTGTATATATAACTTGAAAAATTTTAAATATTAGGCTAACAGTGTATATAAAATTGATGATTATTTAGAAAACCTTGAAAATATATACTCACCTGGCTTTTTTCACAATTATTGCAATGGAATTGAGAGTGTCAAGAAGCAGCTGAAAGATTTCCAACAATGAAGACCTGTATTTAGCTTTCTTCTGCAAATCATTTAACTTGATCAGTGATATTAATGCTATTGAGGACAGGAGATGGAAGAAAACTTATATAATAAGCCCAAGTTACAATCTCTTTACCTCCCCTTGCATGCTTTAATTCTAACTTCATATTTCTAAATTACTTGAGTTTTGATATGAGATATTTTACATTTTGTGTATTTAAAAAAATTAACTTTTCCATATCAAAAGTTCTTCTAATTTTGGTTTGGACTGTGTACATAAGCTGTTTGAAATAATGCCATGAAATTCTTAAATTGTAATTTGTACAGAGACTGAATCCAGTTCTGAATGGCCCTTTCTGTCTGAACTACAGTGGCTGAGGAGAAAGAGAAGAAAGAGAGCAGTGAGTAGAAGTGTGAACCTGAATTAAGACCATTTATAAAAACAAAACCAAACCCACTAATTTCTGAATTTTTTAGTGTTGAGAGAAGAAAGGCTTTAGAAAACAAATATATTTGGTAACATGATGATGTCAGATAATATGATTACCAAATGATAAAACAAGAAGATTATTCTTTAAAAATGGAATATTTGGAGAACACTGGATAAGCTTTCTAAAGTGACATCAGTTGAACTGAAGTTTAGTAGTAAAAATGAGTTCAGAAAGTGGTGAATTTTAAGTTTGGAGTCTGCTTGAGGATAAAGAACAATTTTGAATGAAGTCTTGATACTTTCTAGATATCTGACTTTATTTTAAATTGGCTTTTTAAGTAGCATGATTAAATTAAAAATCCAAATGAGGACACCCAGAATTGGGATATTGAAAGAATGGAACTGTGCAGTCCTCATGATCTGCACATGCATATGTGTCAGAGTTAGGGTAATAGTTGAATTAAAGAAGATTAATCTGTATTTCTTAACTGAGGTGCACAATCCAGTGTATTTTTTGAGGACACATCTATTTTTAGTAACTTCCTTCCTCATTAAATCTGTGATGAATAGTACAGTAGACCAAGAGTTCTCAGTGTTTGAGATTTGTCTCCTTTGTGAAAATAAGAGAAGAGGGAAGCAATGGTGGCTTCTGTGCTGAACTAAAAAGAATGGACTCTAAACATGCTTAATGATGTGACTCAGATTCTCAGCCAGTGTGTATCATAACTAAGTTACTGGAGCTCTGATTATTTATCCTGGTTGAATGTCTGATCCAGTTTTTACAGGCTTACACACCCTACGGAATGTTTATAGGTACTCCTATTAAATCAGCTGCAGTTATTTTTGAAAATCACTACGTCTTCATGATTTCTCAAATAATTTCTTTAATCCTTCAGGTATCTCGTGGTATCTTTGAAGAAATGAAGTATCTGGAGCTCATGATAGTCAATGACAATAAAATGGTAAGTATGTCAATTCAGTGGTAATCTTCCTTTTTATTATAATTTGTAGATTGATGTATAGCACTGTGCTGCATCAGCTACTTTTGGGACAAATATTTTATTTATAAGCAGCGTACATTTGTACTGTAAGACACAGTACAGGCCATAAAACCTAATAATGCTTAATGTTACCTAAGGTTTTCTACAGCAATTATATATTCAAAATACATCTGAAACATTTTTGTGTCATACAGATAATTTAATATGTCCATAGCCAACACAGTAAAGTGACAAAACATATATGTCCAGAACAAACATACTAGCACCTTCTAAAATTACATCCTATCCTTAAAGTAATAAAGCAAGAGGTCAGAACTTGTTACTTTGAGTTTAATTTTATTAACTTGAATTTTAATATAGGAAAGGATATAGACAAAACTATCTGATTGTTCTTCTTGCACACTTATAAACAGGATTCATAATGAAGCGCAAGAGAAGTTGTTTGTTCGATTCAGGAAGTTATTGCCATTTATTTTTTTTTTTCCCCTTTTTGTTCTTGAGGGATGACTGAAAAAAACCAGACTAACTGACATTTGTTATTTAAATGTTACTACTTTCACTAATTATGCCAAGTAAGGCTATCAAAGAGTCTGTGTGTTACCCCTATGAAAAGTCAGGAGAGAGGGGCCTGGGGAACAATAAGTTTTGTAAACCTAAACAACTATTTTAAGACCGTTTTTGAAAAGCATCAGAAATTTGAGTCCAGTAGCTACATTTTAACTACAGTATATCTCTTATGGAAAAATACTCAACATAGGTTTAAAAGTTTTCTAGTACCAAAGAATATACTGCAACTGGCAGCACAGCGAGTTACTCTAAAAACAGCTTGATTGTGCCTCGTTCTGAGCCTTTGTCCTGCTTAGCTTTCTCAACTGTTCATTGACTAAGAAGCAAATAAGGATCATCAGCTCTTAGTATGGCTTTGCTTCTGTGTGAGCAAGACCCCTTTTTAAATCAGATTCTGTTGATAAAACAGTTTCTGCTTATTTTATGTGCAAGTGAAATAAACTTTTAAGTTCTGTAAGAGCTCCTTGCATCTCTCACTCTACTGCTTGTCTTTCCAATGCTTTATGTTGTTGTGGGCTCTTCTGTCAACAGTGAAGGGTGATTTTAAAGAGCCACAAATAGCAGATATCAGAACAGGATGCAGTATTTTGTACTTGTTCCAGTGCTGAATAGACAGACAATACAACCTTTCCTAATCTGTTTAATAAATCATAGAAATAGTCTGGGCAAAAATAACCTGTATTTAATCTGTGTCAAATCAGCAAGTAGGGGGAATTTGAATGAGTGGGAAGAGTAGGACAGATATTTCTTCGACTGCTTTCACTTGTAAAGCCATGTGGTAGGAAACTATTCTAAGAGTGCTCAGATGTTAGTTGTGTAGGAATAGGGCATAGTAACTGAAGTCATAGACATTTTATTGAATTGTCTGAGGTCTGTAGTTGGTCTTCCTTATGAAGAGATAATATTTCCATGTCCATCTTGTTTCCTCTGGCCTCTCATATTACAAACATGCTTAAAGGTCAACCATCCTGTTCACCACACTTCTTACAGACCCTAACTGTTGCCTACTCTGAGGCTTTATTTCTTAGAATTTTAGCACACAAGCATTCCAAGATTTTTTTGCTTCAGAGTTTTCAGTGACTCAGAAGCAGATAATAATTCTTTTCAAGGAATAAAATGGGTACACTTAAGGAAGTGTTCACAGTGGATGAGTAAAGCCTGCCGCTCCAGGAGCTCACTAAATGTACTTTGAAGGTTTTCTGCTTACCAGTAGAGGGCAGATTTCTCCTGCAGCAAGGTTCTGTGTTAGAAGAAGTATCTTAAACCTCTTTGGCCGTTGTGTTGCTTAGTGGTTAATATTATGTATTTTCACTAAATTGTCCTTTTCTGTAACACTAAAGACACAGCTAAACGTATTTAATTAGGTTGTTACACTTTTTGCTGACTTACTCGGCTTAATTTCTGTTTTAGGAGCTGTGTTTAAACACATTATGTTACATACTGCTATTGATTTTGACATCTAAATACTTTCATGAAAACCAAGAACATTTTCCAAAGCATATTATTTTACCTTTCCAGGAAAGTTTTGGATTGGCTCAAAACAAAAAAAACAAAGCCACCCTTTTCCCCCTCTCCCATTATTTTGTTCTAGTATCATGGTTCCCTAGGGAACAGGCCTGTGATACGGATACTCTTCTCAGTGTACATACTAGTACTGTAGCTGAAAGTGCTTTGTTTTGAGAATAGTTATAAGAGAGGGGGTCTCTTATGTGTTGTAGAATCTTTGGGTATTAAAACCTGCTGTGGATGTGTTGAAGCATTGTGGAACTTAACAGTAAATAACTACATATGTAAAAGTTCATCTTTCTGCAGTCAAATGAGTGTCATCAAGTTTGGTGAACTTTTTGTTATTTCTATGGCATTTCATCCACATAAAATTAGATTGCTTAATCAAAAGTAACTGGAATGTAAAGGGATGGAAAATTTGTTATCTAGTAATATATTGTGTCTGTGTGAGTCACTCTTCTGGCTTTCAATTTGAGAAACAGATTATTTAATTTTAAAAGTATATATGTCTCTGGTTTTACTTTCACCTTTGCACTAAGCATAATTCTGGAAAGCAGGGGATTTATCTGTTTTGTAATTCTGATTTGGGAAGGTAGTTAATCCTCTAACTTACTTGATAAGAGTAGCACCCTCTTGTTTCAAGGCCTCTTTTTGGTTACTGTGTTTCAGAGTGGGAATAGCTGACACTTTCATGGAACTTGATAGTGTTTGCTCATGAGATTATGAGATTTGTTGCTTTTAACCAGTAGTTGAAATTAGTAAGACTTTTTACTCTCTGTTCTATAGAATTTTGTGTTCATTTTCTGTGAAATTTTTAAGACTTATTTTTCCTGCCTGCAAAATATACAAGTCATATTGTGTTATGCAATTTTGGTTTATAATTTTACTCTTTTTTCAAGTCATGGATTCATGTTCAGATACCATAACAGCATCTTTGGAAAACTTGACTTGGAACAGAGGGGACTTGTGGAGCAGGCTGAGGAAAGACATGAAACAATTGTAATGACATGCACAGAAATTAGGAAACAGAACTTGTAATACAACTCATCTAAGTCTATAGAAATGGAAAATTTTTAAGATAAAATTTAAGATACTCAGCTTAACACTTTCTGCATTCAAACACATATTTACTTTTACCATGCACTTCCTCTTCCTTTTTATATTAATGAAATGTGGCTAGTACAGTGCCATATTTAACTCATCAGATTAAACACAGTTTTAATGGGTACAGCATCCTCTCAGTTTTGAGCTCATGTTTATGTTCATGTTTACCTGTCATTTTGTCTCAAACATTAGAACTCTAATTCTAAATAGGATATTTCTTGTGCCTAAATGCTCCTTTTATAGATGTGAAAGACTGTCTAACCAACATGGTATCTTCTAGGAATATTCTTGAATATGAGATACAGGCTGTGATCTGGAAAGCTTTTTGATTTTCTTCCCTTACTCTTTCTTAAAATAGTAATTTTCCTTTCTTGCTATAAAAATTAAGTATTAGTAATAAATATTTAAGTTCTCACTATGTTTTACTTTTTCTTCTTTTAGTTCAGAAAGTACCGTTCTTCAAATATGTATACAAATAATTTTGCGAAGTCTGTGGTAAACCTTATAGATGCTGTAAGTATCAATCTTTCTTCTGAAAACTCTGTCACTGACTTTGTCAGTTTAGTGTTGTATTTAAAAAGTTAACATTAGCAGATACCAGGATAACAAAAATGAGCAGCTGAAAAAGTTACATTTTAAAAACTGATTTCCAGTTCTTTTGTAGAAGGCATTTTTCTCAAAGCTTGGAATTGCCAGAGTTAGTCCTTGGCAGAGGGGATTTCAGACTTGAAGGAGCTTTCAGTATCTGTTACTGCTTAAGAATTAGAATTAATTGAGTTTAGATTCATGAAACAAATCTATTCACAAGTGGTTGAAGCTGCAAGTGTAGTTCACAAAGGATAAAGTATTGTTGTATATATACAGTATGTATAATGAAAACTTAGGGGAATATATTTATAATACATGAAATACTGTAAGTGTTTTGTAATATTTTTGTGTAATGGTCTGAAAATGCCAGTAGTCTGAAGAGAAGTTACTAGAGCAGATAAAAATATAAATAATTTAAATAATACTTCTGTAATTTCTATTAGACATTCCCAAAAAGTTCCATCTTCATTTTTTTCTCATCTGATCAGGATTTATTTGTATTTCTTCTGCATTTTAACAAAAGTTATTTAATCTGTCTTCCCTTTCTCTGACTGTTCCTTCTGTTTGTACATTTTTATTTGCTGTATGTTTGTATACAAAAACATTCAGCTTCTCTCCAGTGTAGAATTCAGTCCCTTCAGAGATTATGTCATTACAAAATGACATCATAATGACCTTTTCTTTAAAGGAGCAGAAATTTCTGTCTTGTTATTGGCTTGTGTTCATGGGGAGTGGGCTGTATTTCTTACTGATATATTATTAGGAAAATTATATTGGCTTTCAGAGGCTTCCAGGTTCTCTGCCCTCTCTTCCGTTCCTTCCTTCCCACTTGCCTCAGGAAATAGAGTTTTCCTGTCAGCAAACAGAAGTCTTTATTGATCCATCCATATATAATTTATGGGATTTAATTTTATTGATTTTTCTCATGCTGTTAGCCATTTCCTGTGTATGTGCTCAGCCTGTCTACGTCAGATTGAAGCATATTAATATTCTCTTTCCTTCAAAGTTCTTGGACAAAATTGAGCTTAACTGGTTGCTCTCTCTTGCTCTTATATTTATTGCCTTTTTCCGCAAGCTGAGTATTATACATTGACTTTTTTATAAAGATAAAGCTGCCTTGATACAAAAGACTGGCATGCTAGTCAGTGCTAGTTTCTTTGGTATAAATACCTATCATAACTGCAGGAGGATATTTGCAATTCATGTTGTGTATTGTAGGTATAATTCCACAAAAAGATAATAAAAGCATGTATTTAATATGGTGCCTCATGGAAGTGACCAAATAACTTGCCTTTTGTGTATTTTATGCATTAGAGAGCCAATGGATTAATCCAGTGCTTTTAGGTCATAGCTAAGTATGAACAGTAAGTGTTCTTCATGTCCCAAGTAAGACTTGATGGACAGACTGTCTATTGCAGACAAGGAATGCATCTTTTGTAGATCTGAAGAACCTTAGTTAATAAAATTTGGCATTTATGACGTGAATCAAAAGAGAACAGCAGTTTTATTTGAATCAAGTTTTGTGCACAAAGTTAAAATGGATATTTTAAAGCTCTTTTGTAATTATTAGGGCCTGATTGTTGTTTCCTTGTCTTATTGCTACAGTGACATTAAAATTAATAGAAAAATTAATATTCTTATTAATTCTCACATTACTTGAGTAGCATTAAGTGGTCATACTATAAATGAAAATCAAGCATTATGTGAATTAAATTTTGGATTAAATATTGGAGGACTGAGAAATTATTTAATCTTGACTTAAGAATTGGCTTTGACTATTCCTTGTCTTTGAGATCTTTCTTTCCTTTTTCTTTGAGATCACACAGTGTACCTTGACATTTCTTCTTTGCTGATTTTTGTACAGGTTTTCTGTAAAAATCAGTGGTGAAATTATTTGATGTAAGAATTTTAAAGAGAGTAGCTCAAAAAAAGAGCAGCCAGTTTTTTGTCCTCTAAAACTTAAAATTTAAGTTGATCAGAATATTAACTTTTAGGAAATACAAGGCATTATCAGCTAACTGTTTCCCCATGTTTCCTTCCTGCTTTATCCCTCTTGTCCTTCCGCTTTACTCTTACTGGCTAACTGCATGTTTGACCCAGTGTTCTACTCCTGTGCCTGTCCTGTCTCTGCCCTCAGATATACAAGGAACAGCTGAACACCAGGGTTGTTCTTGTTGCTGTGGAAACTTGGACTGAAAAAGATCATATTAATATTCACCCTGACCCTCTGCAGATGCTTCATGATTTCTCCAAATACCGACAGCACTACATCAAACAGCATGCTGATGCTGTGCACCTGCTCTCGTATGTACCATTAGACAATGGTTTAGACTATTGCACTTCTATAAACTTTTCTGTCTACTGCTTTTGTCTGCCTGTATCACTTTTTTTTCTTGGTAGTCACTACCATCAATCAGCATCTGCCTTCCTTAGGAAGCTTAATCTATTTTTTAACATGTTAGCCTATTTTTAATATGTATAGTATATACCATGGTCATGTTGATATATATCTGTAATGAAATTTTAATATCTTTGCAACCTGGAGACAATGTCACATATTTGAAGTGTCTTCTGATGAGCCCTTAAGGACACCTAGTTTTGCTAATCAAGTGTGTAATGTACTGCTTTCCCAGTAGAAAGCAGGGGAGGGCAGAGCTGACAGTGTTATGTGTTGCCACAAGAGCATTCCAGTTACTCTATTCACACATGTAGCTGCAGTGATGATTTGTTAATGGAAGGTCTCCTCCTTTAGAGCTGTAATGAATTGTTTTCTGAGACATAAGCCATTTGAGGGGAAATTCCACTTGCATCATTAGGCACAACATCAACCTTGAGCAACAGTATTTTTTTACTTCACAGCATTGTAAGCAAAAGGGGAGGAAGAGCCTGTCCCCTGTGCAGCATAGAGACCTTAAGCCTTCTCCCAGCAAAATGACATTCTATAAGGATGGAGTGACAATTGTCTGTGTTCCATTTGATTCACCTCTCATTCATCTTCTGCAGAGGAAGATAAAAATAGGGGATGAAGAATTTTCTCCAGCCTCTGTCATAGCTGCACTGCCTTAATACAGGCATTGCAACACAATGCTCATTGTGTTTTTCAAAAGATATACCAAGTGCTGATGATGTGCACTCTTAATGACTTTGTTTGTGGGTTGTGACTGATTCTGATTCTACAAGATAAAAATAGTATTTTTGTCAAAGAATGTTGTATCTGATGGACTCTTTTGATGTTGGTGTTCTGTCTGTAAACTTGTCGGTTTTGATGTTAAATGAGAATTATTATGCATGCAATGTCTGTGTGAAAGTGTGATCTTTCAATAAGTTCTTGGTGCCCAGTGTCAATGTGTTGTATTTTCTTTATTTTTATTTGTAAGGAATGTGACGTTTCATTACAAAAGGAGCAGCTTAAGTTACTTTGGAGGGGTTTGTTCTGTGACCAGAGGAGTAGGAGTGAATGAGGTAATTTTTTTCATGGCTAAAGTGAAATAAAATAGAAACTGTACATTATAACGTCAGAGTTTATACCTTTGAGTATTCAGGGCTTTGAAGATAACTAATGTATTAAAAAGTTAGGATTCTCACAGCCAGCCTTCCTGTATTGTCATTAAAATACTGCTCACTGTGCTTTTCTTTTTAAAAAACACTCCTCCTGTCTGCATTATTCTCTTAGTAAGATCTTAAATTGACTTTTACTATATTGGACAGAAACTTACACACAAAAATCTCAGACAGGAGTATTTGAAATATAGCACTGAACATCCTTTTGTCTCTTCTCACTATAAGAGGCTTGATCTTCTGAGGTATTGATGACATGTAATTCTTACTGATTTATTTTTTTTTTTAATTGAAACTTGAAAAATTTGAACCACGTGTATAGATACTTTTTTTTCCCCCTCAGTGCAATGTTAAATCAATAATGAAAATCTCCTGGTTTAACATGGGTTAATAATACTATACAAAACTATATTTTACATATATGTCAAACAGACTCCCTTTTGTAGGTTAACCAGCAGACAAGGATTCCCGCAGGTTAAGAGAGGAGAATTTTTTCTGTTATGTACTTCATTGTGTTTATTTTCCTTATATGCACACAGAATTGTGATTGGCTGTATAGAATTACTGAAGTAGTAGGTATATGGTAAGCCAGAATGAGCTGGTGTAGTGTTTGTTACAATAACTTATGTTTTCTTTTTTATTTTTAATTGTGCTCCTCTTGAAATGCAGTATGGCCTTCCTTTGGCCATGGCACAGGAACTAGCACAAAGTCTTGCTCAGAACCTTGGAATACAATGGGAGCCAGCTGCCAGGAAGCCGAGTATGTACATGGACAGAGACTCTTCTTTTGTCCTCCTTTGCTAAATGTTTAAACTCCTCCTTTGTAATATTTGAAACAAATACCAAACTTGCTGTAACTGTAGAACACGAATTGCTGCTTTTGGAAGTATATGCACCAAAATTTGAGTTTTTCCAAAATAAGAGCCACCAGTTTAGTAGTCATTTTGCAACGACCTTAGTGATATCCCAACAAAGAGGAAGGCAGGCAAAAA